ACACATGATGAGTGATGACCCTACACTTCAAGAAATGGCAAGCAAAATGAAAGATAAATTTCACAAGTATTGGAGTGATTATAGTATGATTCTTGCACTAGGTACTGTTCTTGATCCTTGAATGAAATTTGAAGTGATTGAACATTATTATTCTTTGATTGATCCTCTCTATGGCCATGCAAAGATTGAAACTATCAAGCGGAAGTTGATTTATATATTTGATCAATACAAAGAAATGAGTGGTGCACCACAATCATCTCCAACTACTCAATCATCTCTGGGTCCGGGGTCATTAACATCAACTCATCGATCATCTATGGGTCCACATAACACTGTGGAGAAAAGAAAGAATGAAAAAAAGGCATTATCTCAGGCTTATGGTGTAAGTTTTTTAATTTTATCTATTTTTTCTTAGCACTTTATTTTGAACCACAATTTATTAATACTTGTTTGAATTCAACAGAATTTTCTTAAAGTGAAGATTCGCGATGCTTCTGCCATTACAAAGTCTGAATTGGATTATTATTTGGAAGAACCAACTCTTGATCTTAATGCATTCTTGGAAATGAATGTTTTGGATTATTGGAAGAATAATCAACATAGGTTTCTAATCCTTTCAAAAATTGCATGTGATATCTTGAGCATTCCGATCACTACAGTAGCTAGTGAATCGGCCTTCAGCATTGGCTCACGCGTTCTTACAAAGTATCGATCTTCACTCCTTCTAGAGAATGTTCAAGCTCTTATTTGTACAAGAAATTGGTTGCTTGGATGGAATTATGATAGTAATTTGTTCCAAAATAATATGTTTTATTATTGTTAATTTGTTTAACATACTTAATTTATAATATTTGTTGTTGATCAATATGTGTGACAGGTGAAGCTTCTGATGAAGAGGATGATGATGACAATGGGGATAGAGTTGAATTGATTATATCTGATGAGGATAATCATGCAGCAGAACAAGCTTCTAATGCCATCATTAATTTAATATGAGTTGTTTTAATTTAAGCATTGTCTTGAGTGGATTGTTAATTAGTTGTTTCATTTGAGTGGACTTTCTTTATACTTAAGAAGTGTTGATTAATGATTGTTAAACAATTTAAATGAGTGAGAATGATTGTAATTTTAGATGCTTGTTAGTTTGAATTTAATATTTATGTAAAAAAAAATTCAGCATATTTATGCGGGCTAGCCCGCAGGTTGGCTAGCTCGCAATAAAATGAGCTGGGTTGGGTTTTTTGGCCCGTTTAAATTTACAGGCTGGCCCAACCCAGCCCGTAAAAAGACTTAGCCCGCACGGGCTAACCCACGGGCTAGCTCGCAACCCGTATGTCCAGTGCTATAATTTGTAGATGTTGATAGAGCCAAAATATTAGTGCAAGTGTAAGAAATTTAATTTGAACACGCCCATGAATATTTATGGTTAAATGTAATGCTAAAAGCCCCCTCTATTTTTAGTATTAAAGGGTTGAAGAGTGATAATTTGATATGATTGGAATGATGTTCATGTGGTATGTTTTATAGGTAATTCTAAGTCCTTTGATTGTGCTCTAGGTGTTAGAAATTGCTTTTGACACATGTGTGGGGTTTTAGACACCCTTAAATTGTGAAAATGTGTTTGGGCATCCATCTTCTTTGTATGACTTATTTTGGAAACAAAACACGTGTCATTAGCTAGTTTATAAAAAAAAATTTTTATAGATACCTAAATCACTTCATTTAGATGTCAGTTGGAGAAATATGGCACATCAAAAGTTGCTTTAGGTCGCTATCAAATGGCAGCAGAATTGTTGTTTAATATATGCAACACGCAATGGTATAAGCGTAGCATAGAAAAGGGGCAGTTGTGGCGCAAGTGCATGAGTCGCGACGCATTGCCCTATTTTTTTATGACTTATTGTTTTTCAACCGTTTTCAAGTCTTTTTACTCCCGCGAGATATTCCATGCTTTCAAAACATTATTTTACTCTAATTTGAGATTATTAAGTGATGTTTTAATGAAATTAATTTATAAAAACTTGTAATCCCATTTCTATAAATTACAAACTAGTATGTTCAAAAATTGAATTATGGATTAGTAAGGATGATATTTCATACTATCCTTAAGAGCTTTTCCGGCATACTAGTATGTTCTCACTGACAGCCCCCATGATTATACAGGCTCATCCTACAAAATAGGCAAGGCAATAAAGTAGCACAAGCTAACAAGAATTAACTCAGGCAACACAGCACAACATCCAAGGAGGAGGAGAGAATCAACTCGAAAGCTTAAGAGCCAGGTAAAGCTATTCTATTTGCATGTAGTCCTATATATAGGTCACGACCTTGGGCAAGAATGTTGGGACTAAAAATGTCAAATTAAAAAACCATAAAGCACCGATTACAGGCACATAAATCACCATTAAGCCTGGAGCTGTTAGAAGATAATGATTGCTAATGAAATTCATTTAAAGCTTGGAAAATAAATAAGTTCAAATTTAAATTTCAAGCAGTCAAAATAAAAGGTTTTCTGACAAGTAATTTAAATAAATAATTATTTATTTTTCACAAAAATAATATGGTAAAAAGCATCCCAATGCCATCTTAACTCATGTATAAGGGGCAAATCAACTATTTTCAACTGCAATTGCCCTACGTTGACTTGTCTCATGTGTGCGACCTCACTTTTCCTTTAAGCTCTTTTATTAGCTACTTTTACTCTTTAGTACTTATACCCTTGAAGTTCCTCTTGTGTGAGCAATTGGGACTTGTCCTTTTGACACACTCTCAACTATTACAATAATGAACACCAAGGTTTGGAAGATTTATGTTGATGTTTCTTAGCACTTGGTGTAATGCATATGTTTTATTGTTCTAGTCTTTTTTACTGCAAATGGATATGTGAAGACTTTGGTAATTGGTGTTCATGATTTTGTTCAAATGCTCTACACAAAATCACACTTTGTGCACGAAGAAAGATGGTTATGGTGCAAGGTCAAAAATTCTCGTGCTTAAAAAGGCAATTTTGAAGAAGATTTTAATTTTAAAAATTTCAAAAGGTTCCAATTATTATGAAGAACTATAAAATGATTCTAAAAAGAATCCCATTAAAAAAGGTGAGCAAAAGCAACTAGACAAACCGCCAAGATGAAATGGCTCATACACGACTAAGTCCATACACATGAATTAATTATGTAGTCCGGATAGGTTTGAAGAATCTGAAGGCTTTAAAGATCATATATGGGAGAATGACTTGCTAAAGCAATTGTTAATTGCTTTAAGGACTATAGTTGTTTAGAACTTTTAATATGTAATTAAGTGAATTTGTTATGTGTCTTCTTGTTATAATGTAATATAGTTTATATTGTTCAGAAATATAAAAACTTGTAATTGTTTAATGACAAATAAATTTTTCGATGTCCAATATATCGTGTGCCAAGCTTGGATTTACCTACTTAAGTGCTAGGAAGCCTTAGCTGATCGACCTTACTATGTACTGTTTCTTGATGAACTAGTATATATATATATATATATATATATATATAAACATGCAAAAGCGAAGGATTTGTGGAGTCCAAAACATCTGTTCAAGTCTCAATCAAAATGAGAGAGATACCTAAAAGCATGATTCAAACGAAGTTAATATATATTGAAATTAGAACATTGGATGAATATACGCGTGCGTGCACATATGTGTATGTATATATGCATGTGCATTTGTATGGCTCCTCTGTAGGGGCTGAACCAACACCGGAGGGTTGGAGGCCACATTTCAAAAAAAAGAAGTTATTATACATATTGATATTTTTTAAAAAAATTTATATTTAGAATAAAAATTATATTAAAATACTTTTATAATATGAAAAAAATCATAAGATAAGAATCATTTAGAATTATATATTTTTTCAAAAATAAAAAGATAAAGTTAAGTCCTAGTATATTTTTTATACATATAAAAAATTACATGCTCCATGTATTTAAACTAATATTAACCTGGCAAAAAAAAACTAATATTATATGTCTATTTTTATTTAATATAGTGTCTCAATTAAAAATTTTTATCAATTACACTCCCCTCATTAGGGGTATACTTGAAAAAAATCTCATTAACTACACATTAAAAAATCTAAAATATATTATATTTTTTAACATCTTATCTCATAAAAAATGTCTTATATTTTTTAAATGAAGGAAGTATGTTTTTGTTTAATATACATACAATATAAAAAACTATATATATGTGTCGGGGGGAGTAATCTTTTTATTAAGGGGTGGAACTCCACACACTCAGAGACACACAATAGCTAGCAATACACCCTCACACATAAAAATTACAATAAAGTTGGCCCCCTCAAGGTAATAGTAGGTCCGGTCCCTACTCATTTAATCTAATCTAAGTTGCAGTGTGGGACTTTTTTACCCATATACGCCTTAAATGTTTTATTTAACATGATTGCATATTTTAGAATTTGAATTTAAAATTTTAAAATAAATTGATGCAATTCCCTCCACTAACCGGCAGTTTTTAGTCGTAGCAAGTCTAGTTTTTTTCACTTTTTGCATGTGTCATTCGGTTTATATCCGTGTGTTGCCCACCATGGCTGATCACTTCCCTCCAGCGCGTGCTGATCCAGAAACAAGGCACTGGGTAAGAGGTCCGAGCAAGTGTAACATCAAGCTAAGTTCTGTTTTTTTTTCCCCGTTTATAGATATAAGCGAAGTTCTCTTTTGGTCTTTCTTCAAATACCAATCCGACGTACTTCGGGCTTCACTTTGTTTCCTTTTAACCCATGCTCTTGGGCATTTCTTTTGTTTTGTTTTGTTTTGTTTTTTTTGTTTTAATACGACTTTTGCATTGTTTTCTACTTTTCTTTGTAGAAAAACTGATGTTCCCGAGGCTTTGCGGGGGACCATAATTTTGGGCTCAGCCCTAACTTGTCACAGAAAAGGCCCGTCTAGCCCACAAAGAACCTTTCGACTATCGTCTTCATGTTGTTGGTCCCCCCGCCCTCCCTGTGCTCGTGTCGGAAATAAAAATGAAAACTCAATTTTAATGGCTGAAATGCCAGCCACTGCGATTTCTCAGAGCAACTTCAACTGTGCCATTATGCTACTTTTTTAAGTCTCCTCTCTTATTCTTAAGTGTAAGCTGATAGCTTGTTGATATATTTGTGCGCCGGCTTGCCTACACTATTATAATTTTTGTGTGAGGATGGAGCCCAACGATTTGTTACAGGAGCTTCTTAACGTGGAGGTTGAGATTCAAGATGTTGAAGGTGCTTCTTCCTACATATTTATCTTTCACAAAAAAATAAAAATAAAAATTCCGCACATGCTAATATACATTTTTCAAGCAAGAGATGTAAATTTAGTGAGTGGATTGAATCATTGAATATTAGTAGGTTGTGATGGTTTCGTAGTATAAAGGTAGCGCTGCAATATGCGAACCCCTGAAGGGTGGTGGGTGGTGGCGTTACTCGTGTACTAATTTTTTCGTTTCCAAATGTAATGATCTTTGTGAAGATCAAATAAGGGCATTGATCGAACGACAAGAGAGGTTGCACGAGAGAAAATCGGAGCTCCAGGCTGTACTGGAAGCATGTGAAGAATCTGGAAACCAGGTCAATGGTGGTGCTCCAAGTGCTGTGGAAAATTGGTCTGGGCCATTTGAATGGGATCCTGAAGCAGATGATGTCAGGTTGAATATATTTGGCATCTCTACATATCGTGCAAACCAAAGAGAGGTAAATTATTTGACTCAAACAAGAAAAAAAAATTGAGGTAAATGTTCTTAGTGCATCTCAAAGAAGTACAAACATGTTTCCATTCCACATAAGCCGCTATTTATTTCCTTGTTCTGAAGTTCTCTTGAAGTTGAGACAACTCCCCCCCCCCCCCCACACACACACACACAAACACCCACCCTATCTTTCTCCGTCTCCTTTAAGCAGATAGCTGTTGATGGTGACTGTTCCCAGTTTCATTCCCAGAGAAGTAGTGAAAGGAGGAATATATTGAAGAAGAACATGACATCATTCATCACAAATCAAACAGAACAAAATAAAGAATGAAAAAAGACACATGAGCAAATTAAATCCCTCCAAGATGTCAGGAGATTCATTGAAAATAATGAAGAGTTGGATACCAGACAGAAGCTACAAAAAATATCCCGTCAAATCCAATGCAACCATATACTTCTCTTTGAGGGTAGACGCATTATGCACCAATTAGTACCCGCCTCCACAAGTCCTTTCTTTCCTTATTCCTCCGAACTATCCATTAAAATTTGCTTCATGGTCCGTGAGAAATCCTTGCCCACCAAACCTCTAGTTACTTCACATTATAGATCTGGAAGGAAGAAATTGGAACAACAAAGAAGCATGAAAACTTAAAATACAGAACCATGTTTGTGCGCGATGGATACAGAATATTTTTAGTAGGCTCAACGTAACACTACATGGCACCTTAAATCATATGAGGACAATTGTCAGATCACCATTTCTTGTTTTCATGCCTGTACCAGTATCCATGCTTCCTAACTACATGAAAGAGAATAGCGTTTTGTTTTATTTGAAACATTGTGATAAATTATTTATTAATCTCATGTCTGAGCCCTTTGGCATATGTTTACACTGTACCCCATTTAGTTAACAAATGAAAATTATGTGAAAAGGTTTATCTTGCATTGTATTATTATGGCAAGCTTTTTAGTTTCTAATCTTAATTAATCATTTTTAGCTTCTGAAATTTGTATTCAAATTCTGGGTTATTATCTCTGTTTTCCAATGCTGTTAAGAATCTATTGATTCATGTAGACTATAGCCATGGTTTGAGGACTTAAGTTTGAGTGCTTTAGTCTTCTTCTCTCTGATGATTTTCTTGTGTGTATAGTATATTAATAAGTAGCATATTGATGATGATAGATAATTAATGCCATCATGAGTGGAAGGGATGTTCTGGTGATTATGGCAGCGGGTGGTGGCAAGAGCCTCTGCTACCAGTTTCCTGCTGTTCTGCGTGATGGGATTGCTCTTGTTGTCAGTCCTTTGCTTTCTTTGATTCAGGATCAGGTTTGCAGTGCTTAATTTCATTAAAATCTTAATCCAATTTTTCTTCCATGAGCCTTCGGTTGAGTTGCAGCTGCACTGCTTTTCGCTAATTGTTTATTTTAATTTTGATTTTCATTTTTTTGGGGGGGGGGTGGGGGTTGTTGACTGCTTTAGGTTATGGGTTTGACTGCTTTAGGGATCCCAGCATACATGTTGACATCAACAACAACTAAGGAAGATGAGAAGTTCATATACAAGGTGCTGGATAAGGGTGAGGGGGATCTCAAAGTATTGTATGTCACGCCCGAAAAAATATCAAAGAGCAAGAGATTTATGTCAAAACTAGAAAAGTGTCATCACTCTGGTCGTCTCTCTCTAATTTCAATAGATGTGAGTGCATAGTAACATTTTTCTTAGACTTGCTCTGCAATTTGTTTGTTATTATCATTGCTTTTGAAATTGTCAGTACTTATATTCACCAAAAAAATGTCAGTACTTGTTGATTCTAAGGCTTCATGCAGATGTTTTCCAAGAACATGTATTCTGCCTTGCTTGATTTTCTGATATGCTTTATGCCCTGCTTCAACTAAATGCTATGACATATTTATCCACAAGGTTGTGAATTTGTGACATGTTGCTTCAGACTATCTCCCATGAAGAGGGAATGCTCTGATTTGAGCCACTCTAGTACATTTCTGTTGTGTACTAGAGGAAGAAACTAATGAGCTTTCTATGAATTGATATTATGGGTAGTACATGTTTTCATCATCCTACCACAGGAAACTCTTCTATAAAGGCAATTATCTATCCCCATGCCGTGCAGTCATATCGGGCTGAAAGTCATTCCCTGAGTAAAAGCCCTCGCTTAAATCCAGGGACATTTTTTTTTTTCAATGCCTGATTGTTTATTCAAAGGGAAAAACTGTTGGGTGTCAGTCAGATGGTATATAGTATATGCACTTGTTTTGGATGTTCCATATTTGGAATCTGGCATATTTGTTTGTTTCAGCGTTTTCCAGTATTAGTATTTTGCATTGCTTGGTTATTCTACACTTCTCAAGCCTCTGTTACTGTGCTATTTTGAATGGGACACAGATTGTCATGACAACTTTAATCAGTTGTTTGACTTCTTGGCTTATGATTTTCAGTTGCCTTGCAGGAGGCACATTGCTGTAGTCAATGGGGTCATGACTTTAGACCTGATTACAAGAACCTTGGTATTCTCAAGACTCAATTTCCTAATGTTCCATTAGTTGCTTTGACTGTGAGTCTTCTTCTTCACCCTTCTTTTATCGTCAGGTATAAAAGTAATAAAACAGTTTTGATTTCTGCTATGTAACCTTATTGGTCAGGCAACTGCTACTCAAAGAGTCCAAAATGATCTGATTGAAATGTTGCACATTCCGAGATGTGTCAAATTTGTCAGCACGGTCAACAGACCAAACCTATTTTATATGGTATATTTATAAGAGTAGTCCTTTCATTGCATTCTTTGGTTTTTTTTTTCCCTTCAAATAAAAGGAGACTAAGAAGATATAATTATAAACATTATTTCAATATCAAACTAAAATTATTTATATTGCTTTTTGCTGAAGGTAAAGGAAAAGTCATCTGTTGGTAAGGCGGTTATTGATGAAATTGCCGAATTCATTCAAGAATCTTATCCAAACAAGGAATCTGGGATAGTTTATTGTTTCTCCAGGAAAGAATGTGAACAGGTATGTGTGATTAGGATCTCTCTCTTGCATTAAGTATACGTGCATATTTCAAAATCACAAGCAAAATCTTGCTTTCAAGACTGAGGTGAGGTCTCCCACATACCATGTGAGATAAATGGAACATTAGTGGGAAAATTTATGATTGATGGCAATAATCCTTTAAAAAGCAGAATAACAGGAAGGTAAAGAATATTAATGATCTTCAAGTAACAACCATAAGGGACATTGGCCACAAGTTTGGTCTATCAGATCCCAGAATGTCAGGAAGCTAAAAACAAAATCAACCTAATTGAAAACTAAGGAAACAAATATAAAAGCTTCAATTCCATGAGAAGACCAAGTCAGAATATGAATGGAAACAAATAACAGCATAGAATTGGTAAAACACATTACCAATCACATGAGGCAGCAGACTAAGTTGCCAATTTTCAGGTTTCCTTCCTGACAAGGCCTTCGTGTCTGCTACTTAAGAACTAATGTACACATGCTTTACTTCAGTGAGACTTGAGTCTGACATCTACAGGCTGACTTGTTGCCTGGGATCTCTTATGTATAGGTAACTTAGTTCTCTGTAAAGAATTCCAAAATCAAACATCTTTTTTTTCTCTAATCTTCTTCATGTGGAATTTTGGAATTCAGAAGTCAATTATGTCTCATCTTATTTTGAAGCTGGAGCATTATATGAAAAGAGATCTGATCTAGGAATTAGCTAAAATCTCAGAAATTAAGGAGGAAAAAAAAGATAGATTCATGAGAAAGATAGCATGATACATGAAAATAAACAAGGAAAGAAATTAGTTGACTATGATTCTAAATTACCGTGTAATAAAGAAGGGACAGTCAGAGAGTGAATGAGCCCATAATCACAACATTCCAACAAAATTTATGGCATTATGGTGTCTTTGCACTAGTATAACAAGGATAATTATTAGCCAAGTTGAAGAGTATGCTTCTAATATTTTCTGCGGACTGTCATCACGTTTATTTTGTTTGCCTGATCAAGTTAATTGTAGTTTACTATTTCATATATGATTGCAGCATGCCCTGATGTAACTTTTGTTCTTATATTATCATGATTTCATGGATTTTTATTTGTACCCTACAGTTTGGTCAACAAAAAAAATTTGTACCCTACAGTGCTACATTACTAGAACTTTGATTTTATGGTTAAAACCCACTAAAAGAAACGCAGAACTTTCTTTTGGAAAGATTTGAGACCGTAACCTGAGATGAAAATACTAATGATAAGAAAAGAAGCTAAATGAGTAACAAAATAGAGTTGAAAAAAATTCTTGCTTTTACTATTTCATACCTTTCACTTGTACTTTTGCCAAACATGTGCTTCAAATTAAGTAGGGAGATCAGCCTATGTTCAGATTCTAACTTTGGAAAACACATGCAGCATGGACTAGATTACCTATGTACAGTGTTCTGGCTATTTTACTAATACATGAATTGTCACCTTGTAAAGTAGAATTAATACTTGTTCTTTTATAATCAAATTCTGTAGGTTGCAATGGAGTTAAGGGAGAGGGGAATTTCTGCAGATTATTACCATGCAGATATGGATGTACATGCTCGGGAAAAAGTACATATGCGGTAAAGTAGTGATCACACCATCAATTGTGGTTCATTAAAGAAGTGTGGATGCTTTATGTGTTAGTTCTTGCTCAACTCTGCTAAATCCATTGTCACTAGAAATGTTATGCCCTGTTTGGTGAAATGGAATTGGGATTGGAGAGGTGGAGGTATAAGTGGAACTCTGAAAATGAGATGTTTGGTGAATCTAAATGGCTTTGCTATTTTTAGCTCTCCTAGATGAACCTTGCTGTTTAAATCCACTCTGTAACTTATAGAACATTAGTAGTGGCTGTGTGTGAGCTTTATCCGACCCATTAGGCCTCCTGAACTGTATCTATTCCCCAAAAGATCTTTAGTGAATTTGGGTATGGGTTCTGATCAGCCAGTCTTAAAGCAACAGTGTGAAATCGCACTTGGCTCTTATGTCTTAAATCTTGTCTATAATCAAAGAAACTTGAGACTGATCTGGCTTTTCCTTTCTATGTCATTCATTTTGATGAAGACTGAAATTGGAAAGCATATAATATTAGTATTCTAAAAGCTGAAATGACCTAGTCAAATCAGCCAATTGAATGTGTAACCAGCAAGACTTTGTATCCAAATCTTACTATTTATTTGCTTTAATTGTTGGATTGTATTAGACTTGTAAAGCTGTCAAGGCTTGATAGATGGTATGAAAACCACTGGCTTGAAGCTGGGTTTCTAAAAATGGCAGATCAAAATTAAATGCAAATTTCTAGTACTGCTACATATTTTAGGCCTTTTTCTCTCTGAAAAATTTCTACAAGGTTTAATAATTTGCATTATAAATGACCAAAAGAATTTAAATTTTGGTTTAAAAGTGTTGATAGTCAATTTATATTTTTTATAATATGCTATAGTTGGAAAAAAAAAAAACGAAAGCCCCTTGAGCTTTAAGTGTCTTGCAAAACGGCCCTAGAACTTGCAAAATCAGAATTTTGGTCCCTCAACTTTCATAGGCAAGAACTAGACCATTTTGTCAACTCCTCTTTTACAGCGTTAACTCAAATGCCACATCATGCTTTCCCATAATTGACGGGTAAGTTTCCATTTGTCACGAATGCCACCACTCATGCCATGTTACTTGTTACATAAATTGTAGGGAAGTTTGATGTGACATTTGAATTACCATTGTTAAGGGGAATATTGACATAAGTATCTATTTCTATTGCTGTAAAAGTTGAGGGTTCTGATTTTCAGTTTTATAAATTCAGGTGGCTATTTGCAGCTAACAAGTTCTCATGCACGTGGGGGTCTGGTTAGGTGCGCAGGATTTTTCCCTTTGTAATAATATCTATTGCTACTTTTATATCATTATTTTTATTTTTTTATTTTTTATGGTGATAAAGAAGTTTGACAAAGTGTGTGTGTGTGTTTTTTTTTTTTTGGTAGGTGTTTTAAGTCTTTAATTCACATAATTACAGTGTTATCTTATTTGATCTTTAGTTAGACCTTGGCTACCCATTGACCTGCGACCCAATTCCTTTCAAATTCACTGTCCAGATAAGGGTTTAAAAGATTGCATTATAGATTTTTGTGATGTAACATTTTAGGACCGAATGAATTAATTGAGCCTATTATTCATGTTTGATTGCATAGGTGGAGCAATAGCAAGTTGCAGGTCATAGTTGGTACGGTATGTATCTCTGGAATTGTTGTTCTGTGACGTGTTTGATTTATGTTTTCTGTTCTTTTTTAGGTCAAATAAATGTTTGAATTCTTCTGTTCCTGAGTTTTGCCCCAGTCTTAGCCTGATACCTTTTAAGTCTATTTGAATATGCATTTCAGGTGGCATTTGGCATGGGAATCAACAAACCAGATGGTTAGTATTTCAAAAATTGATGCACAGAGAATGGGAAAAGTAAACTGATATTAGATTCCACAAGACACCCTAATACTCTGCACGGCCCCTATTCAGTATCTATGGAGAGATTATTTAAATTCCCAAAATTCCCTTCCCCTGCTATTACCTGTATTACCCTTACTATTCCTAATTCCCATGTATCATTTCCATTCTGCTCATTTTTGCTTTTAAAAAAACTGCCAATATGTTGCGTATATATTTTATTCACTATGCTACTGGGGATGGTGTTTGCAACTATAATTGGTTCATTTTATTAATTGAAAACTGAACTAAGGTGGCCTCAGTTCACCATGTAAGATTCATTTTTGTGTTTCTGATGTCAACATGAGTATATACTCTTTTTTTCTTTTTTGGTGCACACAGCATATAAGCACAGCTTTTTTCAATTCACGTGTCTCTTCCACTTGTCTTGCCCTTATTTGTAACCATAAGGGTATTGAGGGTGATTGCAGTTGATTGTTATATTCTTAACTATCTGACCTTCCAACAGATCCTAACTAACATATTTCACAACTAACTTTTAAGTACCCGTTTGACTAATTATCAATCCTCTAATCTCATGTAACAATACTGGCCCCCTGAAAAATGGCTGGTAAGGTTTACCTAGTTGCTGGTTCTTGTATAGCCGCCCTTGTTCGTCTATGGTTATTGCGATAAATCCTTCTAATGTCTTCCTTGGATAATTGGGAAGGTTTAGGAATTGAGAGTATCTGATGGGACTTAAATCAACCCATGCGACCCCAACCCACAGCAAGGGACAGAAGGGAGTGAAAGAGGTGAGAAGGGTGGGACTGATGGTCTGGTAGAGAACCCAAAAGTTTATACGCAAAAGAACAGAAAAGTAGAGAAGCAAAAAAAGGGGGTAACGATGAAGAGGTAGGACAGAGCTGTTAAAACAGTATTTGACAGGGCATACATAGAAAAAGCGGAGAAGTGAATTGCTCAAGGAGAACATGGATCTGGTTTAGTAAGGAGAGAGCCAACTTCTCAAAAGTTGGCATCTGTTCTTTCTACTTTGTCATTTTATGGTTGCTGAGCTTGTGTGCTATGTGTTTTGTCTTTTGTGCTTCTGTGATTTGTATGAAGCTGGTTGTAGTGATAGTATACTAGTATGAGTGGTGAGGTGTTGTAATCCTTTTATCTTAGAAGGACTCTCCATTTCAGTAGAAAGGGATTTTTGTTTTATTGTCCTCAGGGTGAATATTGTTGGTTCTAGTGTGACTTTGTGAGTGAATGGCATGCTGTAAACTCCTCTTCCATGAATATTTATGTTTCATTGTCAGTTTTGTGATGTGTGTTATTTCAGTGATATATAGCACATTTTGTGTTCTTCTCTGGTGTAGTTTTGTGAGGGACTTATCAGCGTCTTTCAGTGATAGAACTGTTTCCATTGGAGTATCTTCCAGCCTTAGAACAGCTTTTACTAAAAGAACTCCTTGCACAGTATTCTGACCTCTCAGAAATTCAACTTTTTGGCTGTACCAGGAAAGAGTAATTTTTAATAAAATACAGCTATCGTCTCACTTGAAGAAGCAAATGGTTCCTGTTCATGTTCCTGGTTGGATATTGTGCGTAACCATAGCAATTCTTGCGATAGAGCACTTTCTTGAAACCCCCACATCTTGCAAAGTAGCTTCTACCAAAAAAAAAAAAAAGTTGTCATATTTGGCTAGTTGTTACCCCACTTTAATGAAATAAGGTTTGTTGTTGTTACAGTATTTTACTAGTCATTGAATTCAGTAACAGCTTTCTCAGATGTATAGTTTGCAGAGCTTTATTGTCAGACGAAAGAATTGGTTCAAGAACTCTTTCAACCAGCTTTTATTATCAATATTCTGGGGTGCTCTTTCCTTGTCAGCTGTTTCAAATCCCATTTAATCTTAATGTGCACCTTATCTGGTGAAAATCAAGTGCTGCTTCTCTGATGAATCTTTGCTTTTCTTGTCTTGAATCTTAGTCTTGATGTTGCATAGGATGTCTGGGCTCTCAACTTGTAAGTTGCTTTTACTCATCCTAACCGATTCTAATGAAGATGATGGCCCGGCTTGTGTAGTTGTAGAAACGTTTCAAAGGAGGAAGAGAATTTGGAAGCAACACAATGTAACTCGCTGGTTTTCTCATTGGCTTTCTTGAACTGTTCTCCACTTTCTTCACTGATTTTATTGGACTCTCCCCCACCAAGCCAAACGGGCAAAAAAAAAAAAAAAACCACAATTTTCTTCATTTGAATTTGCCACTCTCTCAGAGATACTTGCTGAAAGTTTGCTCCTTGCTGGTCCATTTACAACATCCAACAACAACAACAAGCCTTTATCCCACTAGGTGGGGTCGGCTACATGGATTGCAAGACGCCATTGTGCTCTATCATTTACCAAGTTTTTAGAAATATTATTAATTAAGAGATCGCGTTCAACAATTTTCAAGAGTGTTCTCTTAGACCTTCCTCTGCCCCTCTTAATAGAGCTCAAAGTTATATGTTCCACTTTTTTCACTATATTCTGCAAATTGATTACCTCTTATTGAAGCAGACTCATCTCCAATTTCATCCTTTTGAAGTCATCATGCCCTCTAGCCATTACTCTTTGAACATTGCTTTTATGCCAGTTGATATGTAGAGGAAACAAAACAGAACTATATTCTATTCATTCACAAGCATCTTTCCCATGCCTTTACCTTTCTATAAACCATAAGGGTATTAAGGGTGATTACAGTTGGTTGGTATATTCTTAACTATTTGACCTTCTTCTAATAGTTTCCCCCTGACAATTCTCAACTAACCTATGCTAATTACCCTTTTGACTCCTTGCTAATCCACAAATCTCGTGTAACAAATTTTAACTCTCTGTCTTGTTTTCTGACATATTATTGGACAATGATTCTCCCTTTTTTTTTTTGACAATGATACTTTTTGTGCTTGTGAAAACCAATGTTCTTTTTGCCTTTGATGGGTTTCATGCTTGCATAGGAAAGAGAGTTTGAATGCTATATTTTTTTTAAGTCAGCGACCCCATTGTAATAGGCTGAACGTGCGTGTTGTTTTTGCTGTTTAATTCAAATATGATGAGAATGTTTAATGGGAGATTTTTTTTTTCATGTAGTCAGATTTGTCATCCATCATAGCTTGAGCAAATCAATGGAAACATACTACCAGGTTTGAGCCATCCATCCTATAGTTTTCTCCTGTTTCATTTTTCCTGTCATTAAACCCTTCCTACAGGAAAGTGGTCGAGCTGGGAGAGATGGACTCCCATCTGAATGTGTTCTCTACTTTAGACCTGGTGATGTGCCGCGGCAGGTAAAGATTGGCATGTCTATTTTCTCAAATCTTTGTATGCTATATCATTTTCCATGAAAGCTGAAGCTTGCAGGAGATAGGACCTGATTTTGCTGAACTCAAAATATTAACTCATTTTGGGGCCTGTGTCTTCAACTTCCCTTTTAAGATGAGGAACATGTGATTGACAAGAATTTTTTATTTTCAAGTGTAACACACCAATTTTTTTTTTATAATTTAACTCAATTATAGTTGGATTACAGCCACCCAACACATTTTATATCAATAAATTTAATATAAAAATATTTTATAATTAGTTTAAACTTGCACAATACAACATTTTAGACAAATTTTTACCTCCCACATGCCATTAGGCTAAATCACATTTATTCATCCTTATATTCCCAATAAGTAAAATAAATAATTTAGTAAATTTTCAAAATAAGTCAGTTATTTGGCCTCATATTCATGCCATTTAATCAATTCAAAGTAAACCAAATATTAAATTACAGTCATCCAAAGTCTACTAAAAATAAAAATAGTTTGAAAGGCATAATTACATTTATATATTCATATAATTGTCAATAAACAAAAAGCCATAATATTGGCAATATAACACATTATAAATCATAAATCAAATACCGAAAAGATACAGTGAATCTAAGCGACTAAGCGTCTGGGACTCTTTCACGTGTCACTTGTGGCTCTTCTTCTGAAAATTGTTAACCACATAATGAGACTCAAAAGTCCCAGTAACCATAGCCAATTTATGATAGTATATACAAACAGTTAAGTGTGTGCTTATTAGGTGAGAATTAAGAATAATATAATTTCAATAAATATAAGAAATATTACAATACACACAAATAACCATCTTTATATCCCTCCATTAACCTCGAGCCGTAGCCCTCACTTGGTGCTAAATTATCCGGCCAAAGGTAGATTAGCCCAAGTCCTTACAAGCCACCTATTGAGCTTCAATAGGGACGTACCACGTGGCACATAAATACAACAATAATAGCAAATTTCCCAACACCTCCCACAATAATCAAACAAATTCATAATAATATACAATATTACAAAATTCATAATTTTTCAATAATCACCCAATTAACATGAAGTAACACTAATCACAAATTAAAAGCATGGTTACCTCGTGGCTTTTTCAATAAATTATTTCTTACAATTTCTCTCCCACCACAATCTTCACCAATAATACAATCTACAATTAACATATTATTTATAAATATTAGTTTCAATTTTTGAAACTAATAAAATAATTTTAATAATAGAATTAAAAATATAGCATAATTTCTAATCTCAATCTTAATACAAATCTAGAGTTAATACTATTAAGTAAAATTTTTAACTCCTCTTTTAGTCATCAATAAACATTAATAATCTAAAAATCAACTTCTAAACTAATTTCTATTATTAAAATTTTTTTTTATTTTATAAATTCGCACCTAAAATACCCAAAAATTAAAAATTGAGTCTTTAGCTTAGAATCATAATCCTATAGTCATAATAATTCATTTCTCATCCCAAATAATCATCTAAATCTCAATAAATCAACATATATTTTCAGATCTAGTTTAGAATTTGATCCATAAGCCACAAATTCAAAGATCATCAACAAATTTATACTCTAAAACATTTATTATACTACTAATAACCTTATAAATCATATTTATTCAACATAAATTCATCTTTCTTCCAGATCCTAATTTTTTACCACTATAAAATCAGAAATCAAAGAGGAAGGATGATTAAGAAAAATTTTTAGAACACTTAGTCTTGAAAAGTTTGAAATCACACGTTAAATATCTTATTGAAAACTCTTACCTTAAAAATTTAGATCTTCCACACCGGCGACTCACGCTCACAGACGCTCTCTCTCTGCCTTAGCTCGCGCACAGGGAAGAATGAAGAAACGACGGAAACAGGTGAGTTTTTATAAAAATTCAGTGGGTCCCACATTTTTTTATTATTTCTTCTTTCCTCTCTCTTCTTCTTTTTTTTTATTATTTTATACACATGATTGATGCATGCAGCGGCCGAAAGTGGTTTCTTTTTCTTCTTTCTTTCCTTCCTCTTTCTCATACCTTTTCTTCTTTTTTTTAATAATAATAATAATAATAATAATTTAATATACTTTTTTTAATTAATTAATTTTTAATTTTTTTATTTAGAATTATATTCTAAATTAGATTTAATAATCATCTCCTATTAATTTGCTTACCTTTAAATATTTTTTTAATTTCTATTAACCCAAATTAACTATTAAAATTTAAATTGAGATGTTACAATTCTCCCCTCCTTTTAGAAATTTTGTCCTCAAAATCTAAAGTTAGTAACTATTAACTACTTACTTAATTAAAAAGATGAGGATAATCACGTCGCATACTGTCCTCAGTCTCCCAAGTAGCATCACCTGGAGTTGTGCCCTTCCAAATTACTTTAACCAATCTAATGGTCCTGTTTCTTAACTGCTTGTCCTTGTAATCCACAATCTTTTCTAGTTCAATTTTGAAGGTCAAATTCTCCCTGAGTTCAATTTCCTCGGGTTCAATTTTATGGGAAGGATCTGGTTGATACTTCTTCAGTTGTGATACATGGAATACATTGTGTATACCAGCAATTTGGGGTGGTAATGCTACTTGGTATGCTACTGGTCCAACTCGTTTTAAGATCTCAAAAGGCCCCATAAACCTTGGTGTCAACTTCTTAGCCTTAATAGCTCTTCCAACACCAGTTACCGGAGAGATTTTCAAAAATACATGGTTACCTACTTCAAACTCAAGCGGTCTTCTCCTCTTATCCGCATAACTCTTTTGTCTACTTTGAGCTATGAGTAATTTTTGCTTGATTAAAGCAATCTTTTGGGTAGTTTCATCAATAATGTTTGGCCCCAAAACAGTTCTCTCACTTAATTCTGTCCAACACAGTGTCGATCTACATTTTCTTCCATACAATGCCTTATAAGGTGCCATCTGAATGTTAGAATGAAAATTATTATTGTAGGCAAATTCAGCTAATGGCAAGTAACTATTTCAATTTCCTCTAAGCTCAATGGCACAAGCCCTCAACATATCTTCAAGAGTCTATATGGTTCGTTCTGTCTGCCCATCGGTCTAGGGGTGGTAAGCGGTGCTAAAATTAGACAAATACCCATGGCTTCCTGTAATGACTTTCAAAAGTTTGATGTGAACCTCGGATCACGATCAGATACAATATTAGTCGGCATTCCATGCAATCTCACCACTTCTCTTATATAGATTTCAGTTAATTTTTCAAGAGAATAAGTAATATTGATAGCAAGGAAATGAGTCGATTTGGTAAGTCGATCTACGATTACCCATATAGTGTCATGACTAGAAGATGTTCTAGGCAATCCTGTAATGAAGTCCATAGAAATGCTGTCCCATTTTCACTCTGGAGTATCAAGAGATTGTAACATTCCGGCTGGTTTCTGATGCTCAATTTTGACTTTCTAGCAAGTCAAACAATGAGTTACATGTTCAGTTACATCTTTTTTCATCCTTGGCCACCACCAATCACGTCTTAAGTCATGATACCCCTTAGTTGCTCCTGGGTGAATGGTATATCTACTCTAATGGGCCTCCTCAAGTAGGATATTTTTCAATCGAGCATCATTAGGCGCGCGCACTCTACCTTTATATCTCACGACATCATCATTGGTCACATCAAAATGTTCAGCCTTTCCAGCCCCAATCTCTACCCTAATCTTATTCAAATAATCGTCGTTCTGCTGCGCAATTCTGATTTCTTCCCAAAAATTATTCTCAAATTCAATAATATGCAGAGCAGCCAAATGATTCTCGACTACTTTTACATTTACTGCATGAAAACTACTCCATAATTCATGTTTTCTAACCATCATGTGAGTAGTATGTACAAGCTTCCTGCTCAGAGCGTCGGCGACTACGTTAGCTTTCTCTGGATGATATTTCAACTCAGTCATAATCCTTCAAAAACTCAATCCATTTACGTTGTCTCATATCGAGTTCTTTTTGATCAAACAAATATTTTAAACTTTTATGATCACTGAAGACTTCAAAAGAAGAACCATAAAGATAGTGCCTCCAAATTTTCAAGGCAAATACCACAGCAGCAAGCTCCAAGTCATGAATAGGGTAATTTTCCTCATGAGGTCTCAACTGTCGAGAGGCATAAACCACTACTCGATCCTCCTGCATCAATACACAACCTTAACCTTTCTTAGAAGTATCAGTATACAAGGTATAAGGAGTAGTTGGAACAGTAAAGTGAGCACCGGTGTGGTGGTCAACCTCTTTTTCAGCTCCTGGAAGGCAACTTACACACTCGTTCATCCAAACAAATAGAGCATCATTCCTGGTCAACTTAGTCAAGGGCATTGCAATTTGTGAAAAACCCTTAATGAAACGACGATAGTAGCCTGCAAGACTTAAGAAACTCCTAATTTCTGTCACACTTCGAGGTTGTTCCCATTTCATCGCTGCATCTATCTTACTAGGATCCATCGCTACCCCTTCTTCTGAAACAACATGGCCTAAGAATTTAACTTCTTTAAGCCAAAAATCACATTTGCTCAGTTTGGCATAGAGCTTGTGCTCTCTCAATATCTCCAAAACAATTTTAAGATGTCTAGCATGGTCCACCTCATCCCGAGAATAAATAAGTATGTCATCAATAAAGACTATAACAAATTCATCGAGATAAGGCCTGAAGATTCGATTCATATAATCCATGAAGATAGTTGGGGCATTTGTTAACCCGGCATCACCAGGAACTCATAGTGCCCATATCTAGTCCTGAAAGCGGTTTTAGGGACATCCTCTGCTCTGACCCTCAGTTGATGATACCCTGATCTTAGATCAATCTTAGAAAACACTGCTGAATCAACTAATTGGTCTAACAAATCATTAATTTGAGGTAAGGGGTACTTGTTCTTGATGGTTACCTTATTCAATTGTCTATAATCAATACACAATCTAAGGCTTCCATCTTTCTTTTTCACAAATAGTACCGGTGACCCCTATGGTGATACACTCGGTCTGATAAACCTCTTCTCTAACAACTCTTCAATTTGTCTCTTCAACTCAACTAATTCCGATGGAGACATCCTATAGGGTGCCTTAGAAATAGGCCCCGTACAAGGTACGAGTTCAATCTAGAACTCAACTTTTCGTTCTGGAGGCAAATCGATCACTTTAGTAGGAGAGATGTCAGGGAATTCTCTCACTACTGGAATCTGATCCACACCTTCTTCAATCTCTGCCTTGATTGAGAAGAAAACCATAAAAGCTTGACAGCCCTTTTTTATACATTGTTCTACTTGAGCGGCAGACAACAACATAGGACTTGGGGACTCTACAGGGGTTACAGTAAGAGCTGAGAGTGACACACTCTTTTTCTGACAATCAAGTACAGCTCCATTTGCAGACAACCAATCCATCCCCACAATAACATCAATCCCAGACAAAGACAAACAAATGAGGTCTATGGTGGTCTTTCGACCCTCATACTCAACCTCTACATTTAGACATGCCTTAGCAGTCCTTACAGTCAAACCAGGAGGAGTAGAAATCTTCACATTAAAAGATAAAGTACACACAGGCAATTTACATCTTTTTATACATTCATCAGACACAAAAGAATGTGTAGCACCCGAATCAAACAAAGCACGAACATCATTATTAAGGATTCGGATTATACCTCAGATAGCATTAGGGTTGTTAGCAGCCTTCGGCCCAGAGAGGGCATACACTCGTGCTGGCACTGTAGGTCTCTGATCATTACTCTTATTCTGATTTTGATAGCAGAATCGAGCAATATGACCAGGCTTCTGGCAGATGTAACAAACCCAACAATCACCAGAATGAAACTTTCCACACTTACTGCATGCTTGATCACTAGCAGTATCAGAAGTAGGAGTAGAGGTAGCTAGCCTCCTGTAGAACCCCTGACTCCCACTCTGATTCCCTCTGTAGCTCTGGCCCTTGTGGTAGTAGCCCTTTTTCTTCTGATTTCTAAAGCTTCCTAAAACTTGGTTGCTCCTCTTCTCTACTCCACCAATAGGTCTAGTGTGGATAGGGGGCTTCCCATGAGATTCTTTTCTCCTCTCTCTATCAGCTTCTTCTAATCTAGCCTCTCTCTTCCTCCGAGAGACTATTCGAAGCTTATTGCACATCTCACTGAATGTCTTGATCTCAAAAGGGGCTAACTGTTCCCTTAGATCAGGCCTCGCCTTCTCTAGTAATCGTTCAGCCATCCACTCCGTGTCTTCATGTTTCTGGAGGTAAGTAGAGTATTTAGATAATTCTGAATTGTTCAATAAATTCATCCTCATCTAGATCACCCTGGCGGAATGCATGAAACTCAGCCTCCTTTTCTGCTTTCAATGCAGTAGGAAAATAATTCTCGAACAATATGGCTTTAAAATCTTCTCAAGTAAGAGAGGAATCATCCTTTGGTCCTGATGTTTCCCACCACTTCTTAGCACTCTTCTGTAACATGAATATTACCAGCTGCACCTTCTAATTAGAAGTGCACACAACCATACAAAAAATACTCTCCAATTGATCTATCCATTCTTTAACCACCGCTGACTTAAGATTTTCATCGAAAGTAGGAGGATTAAACTTACGAAAAGTACTCCAGATCTTTGTGATCGTGGATGTCTGTTGCTCAGAGTGAAAACTCACATTTTTCGAACTAGTCTCATGGTGAGAATAGGAAGGTGAGCCTTCATCAGCAGATTGGCTCACATTGTATACCTTGGTATGGCTTCCTTCTTGTTGGCCATTTCCCTCTCGGTTGGCATTCTCCTTATATTGTCTTAAAGCGGCCAACTCTTCTTGCCACTTTATGCGGTTATTAAGATTCTGTAGTAAATCCATCATTTGCCTCATTGTTGGCTCACCCTGCCTTAGTTGTGACTGTATGGGCTCGCCCTGCCTCATTTGTTGCTGTGTGGGCTCCGGTTGTAGCAGTAAAGGTATGTCATTTTCTATTGGCTCTAGAATCACCGGTAATTTCGCCATCTCTTCTAGTTTTGGACACCATCTCTCCCCTCCTAAAGGATGGAAGTCACATAATTAAGTCAACATTAATCTCAAGACAAGAAAAATAATGGAAAAGTATTATGATTTAATAATGTATATTGTCAATAAATTAGGTTAATATATAACAACTTCAAAATTTATAAGAATCTTGAAACGTGTAGCTCTGATACCAAAATTGTAACACACCAAATTTTTTTTATAATTTAACTCAATCATAGTTGGGTTACAGCCTAAATTTTAATAGTTAATTTGTGTTAATAAAAATTAAAAAAATATTTAGAGGTAAGTAAATTAGTAGAAATGATTATTAAATCTAACTTAGGATATAATTCTAAATAAAAAAATAAATTAAAAATTAATTAATTAAAAAAATTATATTAAATTATTATTATTATTATTATTAAAAAAAAAGAAGAAAAGGTATGAAAAAGAGGAAGGAAAGAAAGAAGAAAAAGAAACCACTTTCGACCGCCGCACGCATCAATCATGTGTATAAAATAAAAAAAAAAGAAGAAGAAGAGAGGAAAGAAGAAATAATAAAAAAATGTGGGACCACTGAATTTTTATAAAAACTCACCTGTTTCCTTCATTTCTTCATTCTTCCCTGTGCGCGAGCTGAGGCAGAAAGAGAGAGCGTTTGTGAGCGTGAGTCACTGGTGCGGAAGATATGAATTTTTAAGGTAAGAGTTTTTAATAGGATATTTAGGGTGTGATTTCTAGCTTTTCAAGACTAAGTAAGTGTTCTAAAAATTTTTCTTAGTCATCCTTCCTCTTTGGTTTCTGATTTTATAGTGGTAGAAAATTTAGGATCTGGAAGAGGGATGAATTTATGTTGAATAAATTGATTTATGAGGTTGTTAGTATTATAATAAATGTTTAGAGTATAAATTGTTGATGATATTTGAATTTGTGGCTTATGGATCAAATTCTAAACTAGATCTGAAAATATATGTTGATTTATTGAGGTTTAGATGATTATTTGGGATGAGAAATGAATTATTATGGCTATAGGATTATAATTCTAAGCTAAAGACTCAATTTTTAATTTTTGGGTATTTTAGGTGCGAATTTATAAAATAAAAAGAAAATTTTAATAATAGAAATTAGTTTAGAAGTTGATTTTTAGATTATTAATGTTTATTGATGACTAAAAGAGGAGTTAAAAATTTTACTTAATAGTATTAACTCTAGATTTGTATTAAGATTGAGATTAGAAATTATGTTATATTTTTAATTCTATTATTAGAATTATTTTATTAGTTTCAAAAATTGAAACTAATATTTATAAATAATATGTTAATTGTAGATTGTATTATTGGTGAAGATTGTGGTGGAGAGAAATTGTAAGAAATAATTTATTGAAAAAGCCACAAGGTAACCATGTTTTTAATTTGTGATTAGTGTTACTTCATGTTAATTGGGTGATTATTGAGAAATTATGAATTTTGTAATATTGTATGATTGTGCAATATTATTATGAATTTGTTTGATTATTGTGGGAGGTGTTGGGAGACTTGCTATTGTTGTTGTATTTATGTGCCACGTGGTACGCCCCTATTGGAGCTCAATAGGTGGCTTGTAAGGGCTTGGGCTAATCTACCTTTGGCCGGATAATTTAGCACCGAGTGAGGGCTACGGCTCGAGGTTAATGGAGGGATATAAAGATGGTTATTTGTGTGTATTGTAATATTTTTATATTTATTGGAATTATATTATTTTAATTCTCACTAATAAGCACACACTTAACTGTTTGTATATACTATCATAAATTGGCTATGGTTACTGGGACTTTTGAGTCTCATTATGTGGTTAACAATTTTCAGAAGAAGAGCCACAAGTGACACGTGGAAGAGTCCCAGACGCTTAGTGGCTTAGATTCACTGTCTCTTTTCGGTATTTGATTTATGATTTATAATGTGTTATATTGCCAATATTAGGGCTTTTTATTTATTGACAATTATATGAATATATAAATGTAATTATGCCTTTCAAACTATTTTTATTTTTGATACACTTTGGATGACTGTAATTTAATATTTGGTTTACTTTAGATTGATTAAATGGCATGAATATGAAGCCAAATAACTGGCTTGTTTTAAAAATTTACTAAATTATTTATTTTACTTGTTGGGAGTATAAGGATGAACAAATGTGATTTAGCCTAATGGCATGTGGGAGGTAAAAATTTATCTAAAATGTTGTATTGTGCAAGTTTAAGCTAATTATAAAATATTTTTATATTAAATTTATTGATATAAAATGTGTTGGGTGGCTATAACCCAACTATGATTGAGTTAAATTATAAAAAAAAAAAAATTGGTGTGTTACATCAAGCCCAAGCACATGCTTGGGCATTCGTCAATCTCTCTTCTGCATATCTGTTTGTGTGCCTGTGTTTGATTCATGGACTGTATAATTATTATCGTAATTTTCTGACAGAGTTCAATGGTTTTCTACGAAAACACAGGACTGCAGAATTTGTATGACATTGTGCGATACTGTCAGGTATTTTCTATGTTTTTAAAATGTATCTCTCGTGGTTGATTTCAGCTGAAACATTTTCTCACTTTTCTATAGCCCTTTTAGTTGGAAGCTTTCCTTCTTTTTTCTCCCTTTTCTTTTTCTTTGTGTGTGTCGAGGAGTCTTATATCAAAAATTTATAGATGGCCTATCTTTTAAAATATAGAAAGCAATGAGAATCAAAATTTTCTCATCTTTTGACAACTTTATGATCATATCTGTTCACCAATTCTCATTTCACACAAGTGCTGGTGGAGACAAGAAGCATCAGACTTTTGGAACTGATAGTTGGCTTAGTTCCCTTTCATTTGGGTCCTACTTGCAAGATTTGCTAGACAAATTTTTGCTCTTTTGATCAAGTGATCGATCAAGTGTCAGAATGGGCTTAAAAGATGTGGAGAAAATGTTGGGAGACTTATTTTTTATCATACGCATATAGACGGGTATATATGTTTCTCATCAGGTTAGCACTGCAAAGTTGCCCGCAAAAGTCTGGTTGGCTCATCCATTTCGGGGTATTTTATACCAGTAGTTAGGGAGAAGGAAGGGACAAGATATACTTTGAACTTTATTGTGTTCTTTTGAACCAAATCCCAACCTCTGTTTATAGTAATACTAAACACAAACCAACATTGATACCCATTATTTTGGGTCTACCAAGGGCAACTATTTCCTTGAGAAGTTCCTAAATTCTTAATACCTCTTCATCTTTATGTTTAGTAGGATGACAAAGAAACTAAAATATTAGTAAGCATATTGTAAATATATCACTGAGTGAACTTCTATTTCCTGATTAATGATTATTACATATGAATGTTCAAATTTTTATTGTATACTTGGTTACTTGAACCTAAATTTTTTAAGGCTAATTCTTTTTCATCCAGTCCAAAAAAAAATGTCGCCGCAGTGCCATTTTCCAGCACTTTGCTGAGACACTTCAAGATTGCAATGGTACATTTTTCATGGTTGTCTTTTGCTTTTGATTTCCCCCTTTCTGAGGTCATGGCATAAATTTGAATAAAAACGCATTTTTTCAGGGATGTGTGACAATTGTGCATTCCCAAGTGAGGTGAAAGAACTGGACGTCTCCAGTAAGTCATATGTTGTTTTGTCATTTGTTCAATTAGATTTTTTTTTAATAGTTATTTTTATTTTACTGTACAAATTTATTCTTGTTTCTCCTCTCTGGTCTCTTTTCACCCTTGTTACACAATCCCAAAATGTCAACGACTTCGCCTAAATAACCTTGCTTTGCGTTTATAAAAAACAAGAAGAAGTCTTATCCCTCTAGTGGGGCTGGCTAAAAAAAATCTCCTAACTTGACTGTTTCTACCAGTTGTTGCTTCATATATTAAATATAATTACTGCAATCGTTACCTTTTATGCTGAGATTGTGATATTAGGAATATGCTTCTTGTTTACTTTATTTCCTACTTTTCTTGTGTTCGACCGTAGTTGCTGACTGATGAAACTTGAACAAAGCAATATTCTTTTCACTCAAAGGAAATTAATCACACCTCTTCAATGGCTAATGGAGAAGAAAAACATAAAAGTCAAAGCTCATTCCCTCTGAATACAGCTGATAATCACTCAAACGGTCACCAAAAAACGAAATCCTAGAACAGGACCTATTGCACTGGCTTTCCGAAGGTCAGGCTCTCTCCCCACTCAAAACCGAAATCTGGCCTACGTAATAAAGCTGCACACAGCCCTAAAAAATGCACTCCTTACCCCCACACATTTTCTTTCCTTCAAACAGCAGTGTTTTGTGACATTGGATCCACTCTGGCTCCCTTTCTAGGTCCTTTAGGCCTGTTCTTCGGATAAAGTCAGCCGATTTATTCCACTTGAATGTATCTTTTTTTGAGTAATTCAGTTAATGGAGTAGCGATTTTGTCATAGTCCTTCACAAACTTTCTGTAATACCGTTTATGCCCTAAAAAATCCCTCAAATTTTTAGGAGCTGGCCACTTCATCATAGCCTCAATCTTGGTTGGGTTAGTTTGCACTTCATTTGGTGAATGATATACCCAACTACTCTTAACTTCTGTTGCTTGAACTCACACTTCTTTAGGCTAATTACAAGCTGATTTTGCTTTGATATCCCTAAACCAATCGTCAAGTGCTCTGATGTGAGTTAATTGGTGAGAATGGCATTCTCCATTGATCTCTCATTGATTCTCCTTCTCCTATATCTTCCCTTAGAAAAGTTCCTTCTATTGTATTATTGTATTTGGCTGCCTCCTAGAGTCCAAAGTTGAATACCCCTCCCTTTTGTTTCCCTATTTATAGATATTGACTAGCACTCTAAACGTGTCAAAATTTGTCCAAGACAGCTTAACCCAGCACCAGATGACACAGAAACCATCAAAGTTGGTGCCAGTTATGTCCAGAACTCGTTTTTTTCCGTTCGAGAGTTGAACCTGCACCAGGTCAAGCTTAACCAATGCCAATTGAACTGCCTTGTCTGTTTTCCATTGATTTTGTGTGATTTCAGATATCTTTTTATGTCATTATGCTCTTGGTGGCTTTCTACAAGCACCAATGGATGAAATCACGTGAACTACCCTTAAAAGAATCATATTTTACATTAATAATGACTCCCAAATGATACCATTAGAGTGAAGGAATTGCACTCATCTTGCTTGCCCATAGCTTGAGATTTAGCAACTCATCTATGCATTTGACAATAAAAATATAGTTCTGAAATTCCAAAATATCAATTTAAAAGTAAAGAGATTGATAAACTCAAAATTGCTTGGCAGAAATGGCATTCTCCATTGATTTCTCTCTTTGCTTCACCTTCACCCTTGGTTTTCTCCATGATATTTCTCCTGAAAATAGTTCCAAGTATGGCTTCATAGGTGTATTTGACCACCTCCTAGAGTGTAAAGTTGAATCCTTTTTGAAAAACTCTTTTTTCTTGGTTTACAGACACCATCGCTAGGTCAAATTAAATTAAAACTCCTCTTTTCTCCACTTGTCCTGCAAATAAACATGAAGGGGAAAATATGTAAAATTAACTAAATATCCATATGATCTTTATAAACTATATTAATTATATTTATTTAAGTGTATAAAGATACTCATCACTGACTGTTATTAATTCATTTAATATGGATGAATTGCAGGCCATGCGAAGCTGATGGTTTCTTTGTTGCAAGATATGCAAGAAAATGATCAGAGATTAACAATGTTACAGTTGGTTGACAAAATGAAACTTAAGCAGAAGGAACTAGGTTGTTGTGCTCTCTCTTCAGTGCCTAAAAATTACCTCCCCCCACCCAAAAAAAAAAGCCTTTCCCTAGGCCATTTCTCCCATTCCGCTCTGTATGAATTCAATTTCACTTTTTGTCAGTCTAATTTGTTTCTAGGAGATGTATTGTACTCCTTCCATCCCAAAAATTGTAGGAATTTTTTGTTCCAAAATATAAGACAATTTAAGAAAACTAGGATTTCATTAATAATACTTTTCTAATGATACCCTTTAAGTGAAGAGATAATTAAATTGATATTATAGTGTAATGATTAATTGTGTAAGGGCATTTTTGAAAGTTTATAGTTTTGTTTTGAAAATGTAAGTTGGTAAAGTTTTATTATTGTGTTTTATTGGTCTGCATAATCTTATCTTAAATTGTCTTATAATTTGAGACGAAGGAAGTATATATATATATATATAGTGTTAAATTTTGCTGCAAATCATTTCTCCAGATTTTGTGTTGAAGAAAGAGGAAATGGAGCAGCTCATCTTACAGCTTTTACTAGAGCGGATTTTGGTAAGATAACTTTTACCTTAATATTGAAAGCCAGAATTCTCTCGACTATACTTAGACTTGCACACATACCAGGCCAGATTTACAATGACAAAGTCATAATTATGCAAAGTATTAGCTGTTTAGATTTTTCCATGAGTCAATTTCCCGTGAATTAAAAGGCACCCTAGATGATGGTGTTATTTTAGGTTTATCTGATATCAATAACTTTTATATTGAAGCTAGATCATTCTCTGATTCACTGCAATTTTCTAATTAAAACATCATATACTATTTAGTTGAAGATCAGTGGCATAAAGAGCTAGATTACAACATCATATATCATATACTATTTGAATTGCTTGTAGAGATTGGGTAAGATAGTTAGACAGCAATTTTCTTCAGAATCAGCTGTTAATTTTTTTTTTTTTAAGGCTCAAGCTTTTTTTAGTTGATCAGCTGGGCACGTTATGAATGTAAATATATGTATTTTAATTTTCCAGTGGGTGATTTAGAGACAATGTTTCTTGATGTAGAAAGAAGAGTTTCAGCATACAGCATATGCGACAAATGCTTATGTTGCTGTGGGACCACTGGCCAAGCAAATATTGCTAGGTAAACAATTTTTTATGAGTTATCTTATTCTTGCAAACTGATTATCATGGCAACTAATAAATAGTTGTTTTTTCTGAATTCATCTTAGTCTGGTTCAAGTAAAGTAGTTGAGATCTAAGATGTTCATCCATGGCATTTTCTTCGTTAAAAAGACATCTCTTTTCTTTCTTGTTTCATTTTGTTAGAACTCTATCTGCTTCACCTCCAGATTTACATTACTCTATTCTTACTACTGTTGTTTTTACATGCAGGAAAGAAGAATGTCAAGATTGAAATTTCTAGTGAACAGAGAATTAAGGCTGGTGTAAGATCAGTTAAACGTAGCCTTGGTTCCTCTGGTCTGGAGGTAAAGCTTGATGAGTTGAGGAAAGAATTGTCCTCCATTCATGGAGGAATACTCCCACACTCCGTCTTATCCACTCAACAAATCAGCCTCATAAGTTCTCAAAGGCCGAACTCACTAGAGCAGGTAACTTCAAAAATAATATCCACGTGATCTCGTTTTGGACCGGTTCTTGGAGTGATGGTCTTTTTCTCTTTTTGTTTAGATCTTGGATCTTAAATAACTGTTAGCTTGCTAGAAACACAACATAGAATAATACTACACGTGACTCTGGTATTCATTTCACACTGGTTTGTCGAGTTTTACGTGCATCTTGGAGTTGTACAAGGATGGTTTTGGACAATAGGTAAAGAGCCGAAAAATATATTTGGGAATGCCCAAATGATTCAGAGTTCATGTTCAGCTAAAGGATGTGATATGCAGAAGAGATAACTGACCATTATATTAAAGTTGAAGTCTAATATTTATCCCAAAAAAAAAAAAAGTTGAAGTCTAATATAAAAATACCCCTATGAACCGAGAAAAGAAATATCCTTTTTAGATAGAGATGGGGTCCAGGGAAAAACTCAGTCAATTACTGCATTCAACTGGAGTTATGACTGTAAGACCTGTATTTTTCTTTCTCCCTTTTTCCTCGCAGTTGGAGAAGATAATTGGAAGACTGAAGACAGAAAAGTATGGAGAGAGAATACTTGCGCATATTGAAATGTATTCTGATTCCAAGGCTCCTGGTGAGGGAAATGAACCAGGTACTGGGGCTAGAGCTGCAAAGAGGTCCAAGACCAAGAAACCTATTGTGCTTGTTGAGAGTAGTGAAGATGAAGCGTGATATCATGACATTGGACGACCTACTGTGTGCTCCTTAACAGGCAGTATGCATGCTTTTATTAAATATAATTACTTAGAAAAACGAAGCACCCCATTTTGATAAATGAAGCTTCTGAGTCCTCCTCTGTAAAATCCCATCATTGAAATTGCTGGTGACCGCAGAGTTTGATTGATATTTTTCTGTTTTCTTTAAGGTGAGCAGGGAAAGGAAGCTACTTGATAAAACGTCCACAATTTTTTTTTTTGTGGGGTTTTTTTTGGGGGGGGGGGGGGGTTTCACAGACTATGTAGCTCAGTTGATTTGAGAACATTGTTTTGTTTTTTTCTGCCAAATATTGGAGAACATTGTTGGTTGGAAGCGTAGATTTTAGATTATTTATATATAAAGCTGTGAAAACGCATTCCAGTCCATGTGATTCTATTCGATTTTTGTTCTGTTGTTAAAGTTCATTCTTTATCTAATAGTTTTCGACGTTTAGAAGACAAGTTCAATATTGAATTTCATTATGAATTTTTTATTTTATTTCGACTATAATTGTTTTTTTTTGGGCTAACATTTCGAATATAATTGTTGCATTTCACAATAGAATATAAATTACATAAAATTTGGTTAATTACTCTAAAAATGGAAAGAATAAATTTATTATTTAAGAAAATATAAACCTAGTATAATTTTGTTCAACATTTGTTATGCTTCGTTGTTCTAATCAAATCATATTTATCATGTGTATTGTTCTGGACTTCTGGCCCCAAAAAATGTTTTTTTTTTTAATTAAGAGGACATGATTTACATCATGTATATTAATATAATTTTACAATTGAAGATTGGCGATTTTTTTTTTTTTTGTTACAAGGTAATTTATTGTTTGAAGATACGTTGCAAGATGCACAACCCTGGGAGAAATGACATCCAACATCCAAGTACTACTGAAATGGTGTGTTGACAGCAGAGTTCCAAGAAATGAGGTAATGGCACTGTAATCCTTAGAGACTTTGCTGACATTAAAGTTTTTCACCAAAATTACCATAATGTCCTTTACTTTAAAATATAAAACAGCTCTCATCCGGGGGTGGGGGAGGGATGGTGATGATTATGGATGCCAAGTTCTCAGAAAATTGGCAACGCAAATTTTCAATGGGCATATATCTCATGGAAGAAAGCAAAAATTTGGGGGGGGGGTAAAAAGAATCCATCTAAGAACTAAAGAAAAGAATTTAGAGTGTAATGATTTTCTCTTATTCATCTTGTGAATCTATAGTAAGGCTTTATATAATACAAGGCAGTACCCTACAATTTGTTGCATAACTAACTAGAGTTGACATGTGAATAAGCACAATTAGAAATAAATAGCTTATCTAACTGAATACTTATCCTAACATACCCCCTAAACTGAGAGTTGTATGGGAATAACACTTAGTTTGTCTCGAAACTGATGAAACAATTCTACACCCAAAGGTTTCGTAAAGACATCTATAACTTGGTCGTGTGCAAGAATATGAGCAACAAAAATCTCTTTTCATTAAGCCTTCTCTAATTGTCAAGTTTGACATGCTTAGTCCGAGCATGAAGAATAGAATTGGCTATGAGATGAATAACACTTTAGTTGTCACGAAGAAATAGTGGAGGATGAATAGAAGAGGCCCCAACCTCATGAAGAAGAGATTGAACCCAAGCAAGTTCAACAACAACAAGCGCCAAACTACGGTAGTTGGTAGACGAATGACAAACAACATACTGTTTCTTGGAAAACCAAGTAACAAGATTACTACCAAGAAAAATACAACCACCTAAAGAAGAACAATGATCATCAGGATCACACCCCCAGTCAACATCATTATATGCTGTTAAAGAAAGAGTAGAATCTCTAACAAAATATAAGCAATAATCAACAATGCCTTAGAGATAACGAAGTATTCTTTTAAAAGAAACCCAATACAATAGTAATGGTCGAGCCATAGACTAACAAGCTTTATTCATAACATAGGACAAGTTAGGGTGAGTAATAGTTAGATATTAAAGAACACCCATAATGGAGCGATAGAGACGAGGATCCTTAAACAGTACAAATTGGTGCCTTATTGAGAAAGCTTAAAACCAACTGCCATGGGAGTTTTCATAGCCTTAGCTTTAAGCATATTAGCTTTACAAAGAATATCATAAGCATATTTAGACTAAGCAAGATGAATAACACCTGTAGCAAGTTGAGTAACCTGACTACTAAGAAAATAATTCACTTAGACAATGTAATATCCTAAAAATTTTACTTTGATTAATTAAGCTCAATGAGTATAATTTAATAAATTAATGTGGTGCGTGGTTAGAGAGAGCTAATGAATGTATTAGGTTGTGGTTTCAGCCTTAGGTTCAGGTCTGAAGTGAAATTGAGTCACTCAGACCTCAAAAAGAGAGAAAAACAAAGAAATGTGGCACTGTTCCATATGTCGTGAAACATTTGGCTAGAAAAAAAAGGAGAAGAGACCTCTCTATACCATATGCCATTACACGCGTCATAGTACATGGCCAAATTTTGATAGTAATAAGGTCGTGTTCATATGCAAAAAAGAGAGAGAGAATAGAAATATTGGATGAGAAAGACAAAGAAGGCTTGATAGCTTTGTTAGCGCTTGCTTCCTAAAAGATTTTGGAGCATTTTGAGGTTAGCAAACACAACAGGTAAGTTTCTTAAGCCTCCTTCCTTTCTCCCTCATTTTTCAAAATGTTGAATTAAGGTTTGTTGATTGGGAGAGATTATCAATCCAAATTCATTAACTTATATGGAATTAATAAGAGTTATTTAGACCATTTAAACTAAGATGTGAAGGCTCAATCATCTTGAAAGCCAAGGAAGCATTAATGTCCAAAAGTTATGCAATAAGCGTGAGTTTTAAAGGTTGTTAGATGACATTAATGACTTTATAAGAATTTAATTGATAGATGAAAAGATGAGTGTAAATCTCAGAAACAATATGAGAATATTCATGATAACCTAAGAATATTAATGATAACCTAAGATTCAGCAGGCTAATTTAGCATATAACATGCTCAAAGTTTACAAATACATCTTACTCGGCATAGCTAAAATACTCATACCTTAATTTAATCACAAGAGAAGAAGAAGAATAGCAATGTGAATAACATAACCCTAAAAATATCAACTTGAATGCCTTGTGGAAACTAAAAACATTTCTTTCACTATCAAATGTAGCTTAGCCCTTATCTAGCTTAAGCATTCTGTTTATGTTTACCTACTCCACATAATTAAACAAGTGCTCTTATATATCAGCTGAAAAATGAAGTATTAATGATAATAGATAAAAAATAATACAATTTAGTTTCTATAAAAAAAAACAAGAATTCCCCATATATAGATCAAAAGATGTAGTGAATTCTCCCTCATATGATCAATGCTTGCATACAAAATTAAGAGGAAGATGCAAGCATTAATTAATCAAGCGGGTGTAAGAAAGAAGCTAACAAATCATCAATATCTCAAGTTTTAACACAACTTATTGTTATAATGCTAGACACGCAAGCAAGAGCATTTTCAAAAGATGAAAATATGAGATACTAAAATGCTACTAAACACTTGACACTTATAAATAAATATAATAGAATTGCTGAATCCCTTTACATATTAGATACAATAATTACTTTTTAAAGAGGGCATGTGAAGAATACCAACTAGAAACCATAAAAATACATATATCCCTTAATGATTCTCACATTCCCCTTCAACAATGAAAACTAACAAATCCTATTTTGTTCTCCTTTTGTTTACCAAGCCTTTTGAACTGAATTAGGAGAAACTATTCAAATGTATTAGGATACTCCTATCATGCCTACATTCCTAAACACTCAAATGCATGACCTACACAATATTATTAAAAGATAATTGTCTGCAATTGTTTGACAAGCCATCAATTGTTTTCATGAAATAAAATATGTGAGAAATAAAGAAAATTACAGTCTGGAAGGTGAGGCTAAAGGATATCATCAATCAGCATAATCAACCCACAAATTTTAGATTTCCTATATGAATTCTTCACATTGTGTGCATAACTTTACATTAGAAATAGCATAATTTTATTTTCAATGTAAAACTTTTCTTAGAATGCTGTTAATAATATCTATTACTTAGATGGACTCATTCAAATTCTAAGCCCATAAAAATCTCATGAAGAACTAAAGAAATGGTTAATGGCTTTATGACATTGCTTACAAATGCCGATAAAGCATTAGCTTAAATAAATTGCATCAACTTACATATTTTATAAAACACTGAAACCAGCAAATATGATTGCCATAATAGTCATAGAGCATCTAATTGTTCATACATAAATGAGATATTCGCAAACCTTCTAAAGAGCTTTTCTATTGCAATATGGTGGAAACCCAACTACCCAAGGTTAAATGGTGCTAAGTTTGAGGATGGATTCAAGGAGAGGAGACCTAATATTTATGGAAAGGAGCAATATGGAAAATACTTGATTTAGAGAATAAAGAAGAGGAGACCTAATGCGCACTACTTCCCAGTTGTTCTTAACCTCGTCCGACCAAGTCTTCACTTATAACATCCTAAAAAACTAGTCAAAGTTAGGCCAATGTAAAAGTGTAATTAAGTAAATTAAGTAAGGTGTATGGCCAAAGAGGTCTAGTAAGTGTGTTTGGTTGTAATTTCAATCCTAAATACGGGTATGAAGTGAAGTCGGGCCACCTGGGCAATAAAAGGATGAGGAAGGCTGAAGAGAAAGTTTTTGTACCACATGTCACAACGTGTAGCACATCTATCGTGACACACAGATAGCAACTAATAAAAAAGAACCTCTCAATGATGGCCAGTATTTTTGCCAAAGAACCTATGAACCAGACAGAAAATTAGAAAGAAAAGGAAGGAGAAAACAAATGACCTAAGGTTTCTTTGTTAGGGCTTGAGGATTTGGATATTTAGGAGGAGCTTCTAATTTCCAAGATTAACCAAATTTGCATCATTCAAACTTAAAAGAAGCTTTAAAAGTTTGTGTTTTAATGGGTAAATATTTGAGCTCTCAAAGGTTTAAGGTAATCAAAAAAAATATTATCTGTATAGTTGTATGTTAGTTATCTATTAGTTGAACTACATTGTTTAAATTGTTAGGTGTTGGAGACCCGATGATGCAAATGTTAGCAATGTGATTATTTGTATGCATGGGATATTGTGTTGAATTGAGAAAAATGTTATGTATGTATATTTGTGTAAGTAATAATGATGTTTTAGAGCATGTTCTAATAAAAATAAATATGATGATATTGGACATGTGAATTTTATAAAGTGTAATAAATGAAAGTGGTGTGAGCATGATGTGAAGTGGTTAAGCGCTGTTAGATATGTATCCTAAGTATCAATGTGTGCATGGCATGATCATTTAATGGGAGTTTTGCCTAAGGATAGGAGTAGATTGTTAAATTCACATGGTAATAGTAGCTTATCGTTAAATCGAAAGCTTGC